ATTTATCACATTTCGAATTGCTAGCTGCCTTACAACCAAACACTATGTATGTAGAATCTGATGTAAAAACACCACCAAAGAACCCAAAATGTACAGAAATGGCCAGTAATCATGATCATGGCAGGACAGGGCCACTCTTAGGCTTATATTTAATCTCATCTGGTATATTCCCTCTTTATCAGTTCAGTTAAAGTTCAGATGTAAAGATGCTACACGTTTGGGACTAGAAGGAATGGAACATTTGGGACCAGAAGAAATTTCACTTCATCAAACTAGATGTACCAATTTACAGATATTTTCCCTCAGACTCTGCATTTTTATTATCATTTTGAAGACACCAATCAAAACACCTACAAATATTTGATTCGACAAATTTTTATTCGTGTGGCCTAAATGAACTTCTGACTAGAAAGCAGATGTACCTTTAATACTTTTAGTACCTTTTGCTTTAAAAGTACATAGTTTTCAGTAACACTTACCCCCTGCATGAAAGCACACTTGCAGTGCAGACTCGAAACGTAAGGATGGATGAAATGAACATGGTACATCTTGGCTAATTTAATGCATCTTCAATGCATTATTATTTTCTCAAAAGAATTTAGTGGGTTTGGAAAACGTGAACTTAAAAAGTTCTGTTCTTGTAGCAAGTAGGCACGGCACCAGATTACTTAAATTCTAATCTTGTAAGTTACAATTCTTAAGAGAGACTTAAAGTTATGTACAGTTTTAATAGTAGCTCGTGTACTTGTTAACGTTTTAGCTTGGTTGCTTATAATGGTACATTCCACATTTAAGCTACTTAAAGAATCAAAACTTTTAATATGAACCCTGCAAATTCTCATTGCTAAAATTTCAAAAACGAGTTTTCCGATGTTGTTGTTTTCAGTGGGGAGGGGGGTTACAATTTGGGGAATGATAAAGAATTAAAACTTAAAACAAATGTCAAGTGAATGGGTCTCTTATGGCCTCTTTCAACAATTGTAGCATGTCAACTTCAGATGTATCTTTCTTTTCATTTAATTAGATTTTGTCATTGACAAGATGTATATTCTATGCTACTTAAAGAATTTTATTCTTAACATTACATGAAATTTTGTGTAAGTTACATTTCTAAGAAACAAATTTTTTGCAAAAGTTGTTCCTGGACATTTTTAGTGAGAAGCTTTTATTGTGAAAAAGTAGTACAATTGTTAAAGGTAACAATACTGTTGAATTACACTCATTGTAACAGTTACTGTTCTTAATCAAGGGCCTACCAAAACAGGAAGGGTTTTTTTTTCAAAATGAATTTGATTCTAAACAAGTAATGTCGACTCTAGTTTTTTTTTTCATTTTGAAGCTGTAGTATTGTAACAATTGTGGTTGTAACTATTTCAGAATCTCTGCCTTTTTATTAGGGAGGATGGCATGAATGTATTTTGCAAATATTAACTTTATAGTTGTTTCAACTTTAATGATTGCCCTACAAAGAACAGGGAAAGAGCGTTGTCTAAAGTATAAAATGCAGAAGCATGGACTATCTCAGTCTGGCACTCTAGTACCAGAGCAATGTACTGCAGAATCTATAAAGATGTAAAGTTTTAGTTTAAAGGCATCAACGCTGAATCTGTTGCAATGTATTTTTCATTATGGGTTCACCACACCACGAAGTGGTGGTGAACCCATATTGCTTTTTCTGATGTTTCTTCTTCTCCTCCTCCTCCTCCTCCTTCTTCTCCTGCCATTTTTTAAATGGTTTCAGCTTCTTCATTTTAGGGCCTAAGGTCCTGAAATTTGGTATGGAGGTACAGTGGGCAAATACCCCTAGGCGTTTTTTAAATCTTTGTGATACAGGCTTTTAGAATGGTTTTATTTGAGTTTTTTGGCCGTGTTATAGCAAATGTATTACTGTGTTAGTGTGCCGTGTTTACCACGTCTGGGCATGAGTCATCACAATGGAATGCAGGGCATCAACCAATAGGCATGCAGCTTTCCTCTATACTTCTTGGTGATTGGCTGTTGGGATTTAACTTGATTAACACCTGCACAGAGCATTTCCACCTGCACAGAGCATTTCTTGCTGATTGGCTGTTGGGATTTAACTTGATTAACACCTGCACAGAGCATTTCCATACTGACAGTATGTCTTTATTCAAGTGTTTTGGTAGGTATTTCAAGCTTTTCTGCTCCAGCATTGGAATGCGGGGCATGAACGTTTTTTTTTTATTTTGAAAATCAACAGTTTGCATTATGCAATTAAAAATCCTAACCAATGAAGTAGGGAATAGCTATCCAACTGTTGTTTTAGTTGTATGTTACTTCATATTATAGTTATATCAATGTAAATCATTGTTTTCCCTTGTGTTTCTCATTCTTTCCCTGCCATATCGTAAAATGTGGTGAACCCATCGCTGTATTTGCTCCAAAGCAAATATTGGCCTTTCTAGTTCAGTCTTAATTTCTTTTAATGAACAAATGAGATACTAGAACACCTCATGCCATGGCTAAAAGTAAAAGTGGATTGACAACAGATATGCCTCCATTTGGGCAGGGGTTAATCAACAAGGTTTGATAAGGAGGAGGCTTATCCCTGTGTTACTCACACAACTGTGGTAAAATAACTAATGCACCATAATTGCAAAATGGGGGATAAATAATGTCATCATGTAAATTTAATAGTTTAACTAATGCTAAGAGAAGAAGTCACGATTGAAGATATGGCTGTTCTCTGGCGCTTAACTACAAGTAGGATCTACAGAAACCTAGGGGGGCTTGCATGGGTATAATTACCTTTAGGGCCTTGCCCAAAACCATATGCTACTTGAAACAGGTTCATGAATATTCATGAGATGATGATCACACAAAGTCCCAAGGTTAAGGTCATGAATATTAACAATGATCAATGCTGATAGTAATTACTATAATCCACACACAGTTGAATGGGAGTTGGCTTAAATGAAATCATGCATCTCTCTGCTGGTTTTTATTCTGAGTCACTCACGATTTAAAACATTTTTGTACAGAATGATAAAGAAGAATTATCCATTTTCATTTGCCTCCTGAAGAATTAATATGAACACTTCAGCATTTTGTCCTAAATGAAATACATGTACATGTATCAGATGAGATAGAGTTTTTTCTTCCCATTCCCTGATGCTTGATCCTGTCCTCTGCTCATGTACATGACTAGTTTGGGAGGAGGGGCCAATGAATTAACTGTCCGTTGGAACACATATATTGAAGCAATGGAAAACTTAGCTTAGCATTTCAAAACACATTTACCTGTACATTTTATTTGAAACATCAGGTCTTTACTCCTACTGCAAAGTTGAATTTGTCAAATTGTCAGGTTTGTTTGGGGTATGAAAAAAAGAAGGTCACTTCCCAAAATTTGAAGAAGGTTAGGGACTGTATATAGCACTGTACAGTATTTATTAAGTCCTTATTTGCATAATTTGATTGTGTACATCTCTGTCTAAGCAACCTACATGCCAAAAATCATGAAAGTCAGGTATGTACAGAAGTGCACAATAAATCTATACTACTAAATCTATAAGAACATACCACGACCAGCCAACATCTGATAGACTTACAGATCACAATCACACCACCACCA